ACCAACTTTTGACTTGTATTACATGCGTCCTTATGACATAATCGTATTAAAGCAAATTTTGCATTATTTGAAATCGTATTAATCGCAATCTGTCTATAAATGTAGCGAATACAGCTGAATATGAGGATATACATCGAAATTATTTTCGTTTTTAAAGTATGTGTTCGATACTACTAGTAGATCTAGAATGAAAGCTGCATTAATTCTATTTCGTTTGAGGTTATGAAGGATTGGAAGTTGAATTGTCCCACAAACAGATGAGTCTGCCTACTCATGTAAAGGTGGAAAAATTCATCTTTCAGTCGTTAACCAATTCAAACAAAATATAATTGATGCAGCTCTTATGCTAAATCGACAAGTAGTGGCGAAAATCTAATTAAAAGCCTAAACTCCTAATATGTCGCATTAAGTGGACAAAGTTAAACTATTTAAAATAGGTCGGATTTCAAACGTCCGCATTTCTTGTCTTCGTGTCCTGCTCTGGCAATGCCGGTCGCGTGATGAACGAAAGCTCAGCAATCCGACAACTTATTCACACAAATCGACAGTCACAGCTTCGAGGCGATCACACTTCAGTTCCCGATGAGGCCGACCCACGAAGCCCTTCCAGTCGTTGTTCCAAATTAAATGAATGTTATGACAACAGCATCCTCTTCATCTTCAAATCATCTGCACAACTAGCGCTCGTCAGCGGACGGAGCAAGCCTCGATTTAGACCCACCTGGAAGGCAGATGCAACGTCCAGTGTCCGGATGGCATGCTGCGTTGTTCTCGCAGTCGCAGTGGTACTCGCAGTGGGACCCATAACGGTTGTTCTTGCAACCTGCAATCACATGCAAACGGGGAAAGAAGAAAAGTCTTCTTTTCAGCGAGATATTAGGTCAAATTAATCAGACAACCAGACGAATATTTCATGTGTTTATCAACCAAGATTTAGCTTTAACTAGTTTATTTATGAATTTGCTGGTAAGCTCATGATAGTATAGTTTGGTGGTGAGGCAATGAGCAAGGAATTTTTAGTTCTCTAAGTGAAGACATATAATATAGACACAATCATGTATAATTAAACTTCGGCGCTTAAATCCACAATTTAATGTCAATCTATCCATCTCAAACCAGCTCCGCTAAAGTAATTATTATGTTAAATAATTATTAAATAATGATTTTCAAGGTGTCAATTTCTAATTATTCATGCTGTAAAGATACAGTTCATTTAGGGAAACAAATCATTTATAAAAGAAGAACAACTCCTTTAAGTAACACCTCAATCGGTAATAAAAATTGCAGGGTTCTTCGTTTTTTAACTCATTCTCTGTCTCCCAACAAATGACTTTTTTCTATGTATACCAGTTATTTAAAATATTCTTATGTTTTCTGCGCCAAGTGCGAGCCTTAATTAAACAAAAAGAAACACATAATAATTTATCTATAAACCAATTTCTAAAAAAGCAACGATCCGTCTTTGGAGTGAGTGCTTGAATAATAACTTTGGTCATCATAACTTTGATCAGATTAGGTAGCTTAAGTTAAAATATATTCTAAAACTGGATTTTTCCATAAGGAAGGGAAAACGACTCATAATTTCAAGGAATTTTAGGTACCCCTATCTCGGATGAGAAAACACCGTGGGATGTAGGGCAATTCTAAAATCGATCGACTCATTAGGCCTACTCATGCCGATAATATCAAAACCTACTAATTACAAATGCTACTTAGTAAACAACTTCTAGCAAATTAATTGAACTACAAATACAAATAATATTTTTATTTTAGATAAGCGCATAAAATGAAGGTTAATAGAAATTGAGCAAAACATGAACTAAAAGTAGAAAAATGAATACCAGTTAATGAGATCATATCAAATTAAAGAGGAAGAATAAAAAATCTAGTGAATCTGGCAATAAAAGTAAAATTAAAATATAGCACTTGCAAAACTAGCATAATAATTAGAAAAGTATTCGGAATAATAATGTGAAAAATTTAAAGAAGCATTGAATAATGTGGAATGAACGAAATTGTATTCAATTATTTAAAGCCAATTTTGATTTAATGATTACGGAAATAAAAGCCAATTTGACCACTTGCAATATAATTACTCAGTTCAGCTAGAGCAATATGAACAAATAATTCATTTATCTATGTATAGCTAAAATATACTACATAATATACAATAATTATTTTATATTAGACTTATGATGTTATATAACTATAAATATATATAAATAGGACTTTCACGTCAATTAGCCAACCAAATAGAGCTAATAATTCAGCGATACCAAAAAATTGACTTGGCCAATTTGAGCTTCTGATCATTTATGAATGCACGTAGAAACAAAATATAGATAAAAAATAAAAAATAAAAGAATAAAAAATATACAAGTTAAATATAAATATAAATTTAAGAGCATGGAAGCAAACCTGGTGAATCAGGAGAGAAAACTACAGTATAGATATATCACTAAAGGTAAAAAGTAACATCTGATGCCAAGAAGTAAACAAAATTGTTTCAATATTCTAAATAGCTTCTTTATCGAATTTTTGCAATAATTTAATAATATTATAGAAACATATATTATGTTAATATATTACCACGTACAATATATATATATATATGTAAGCTAATAGATAAGTATCATATTATAATGATATAAATCATTAAATTTGATAAACGATTAATTTAACTATTTAATTTAACTATTATATAAAGGAAAAATGTATAAACTTTGTATAAATATATATATGTATGACCGCTTACGGCCTGCACATTCGACTCGGCCGGCGATCCATCCGCGACCGGTCCATCCGGGCCGACAGCGACATGTGCCGTCGAGGGGATCGCAGAGAAGACGGGCGTCTTGTCGTTGGCAGTCGCAGGTCTCTTGGCAATCGCGGCCGTACCTGCCCTGGACACAGGCGATCTCGCATTTGGCGCCGGTCAGGCCGGCCTGGCAACTGCAGGCGCCGGTCTCGTGGTGACAAGGACGGCCGTCAGGACATGAGCATCTGATGCGGCGGTTGGGAGGCGGCGGAAGGGTGAAGAGGTGGGAGCAAATGAGTGGGTGCGACGGACGAGAAAACGACATGCTACGTGCTACAAGTCAATTCGCTTAGGCTACTGGCGCTGCTGATGATGACGATGATGATTTTGCAGCTGATCAAGATTACAT